AAGGCCAGGGATGTGCACTAACATGCACAAGGGTCTGGGTTTGATCACTAATGCCTCCAAAAACATAAGACATGTTGATCAGTTAGGTAGTATTTACATCTGTTAGACTTTCTCTCCCCTGTAGAACATCCCCTTCACCTTCCTCTTTAGTGGGTATTACTAGGATAGTGAGGTGGTTGCATTTGGTCTCTGGCCTTGGGAAGTGGCCCATCAACCTTAGGTCTGCAGGGTGGCAAGTCATCTAGAGGTGTTAAAGGCCTACTTGTTCCCACCTCAGGGGAGAGACTGGATGTGCTGGTGCTGGCTTGGGAGCTCCAGATGTTCTGGAAATTGCAAAGTAGTCTGTACTTTTAAAAGCCTGCAGTCTGAGCTAGGTTCTAGCCTAACACCCCTCTTTTTTTTTTTTTTTTTTTTTTTTTTTTTTTTTTGAAAGGGTTCCCCAAAAATAAAAAACTAAAAAATAAACCCCCCCCTTTTTTTTTTTTTTTTTTTTTTGTCTTTTTGAGAGAGTGTCTCCCTGTAGTCCCAGCTGCTGGAACTGGCTATGTAGACCAGGCTGGCCTCCAACCCCCAGAGATCCACCTGCCTCTGCCTCCCGAGTGCTGGGATTAAAGGCGTGCACCACTATGCCCAGCTCTAACACCCCTCTTGCCTTGCCCACCCAGTGTCCACTCAGTCTCAGGTAGTGTATGGGTAGACAGACACCAGAGCAGCTTTTGATGACTCTTCTTGCCTCTTTGAAGGATCTGATACTGCTGCCATTGAGGGCTACTTCATCTATTAAACCCAATACACTTGTCGCAGCTGCTAAGCCCCCGTAAGCCGCCAGGCTCCGTGTTTGTGATGGGACTGACAGTGCATGGAGGAGGCTGATTATACACGATTCCATTTCGTGGGCCCAGCAATGTAATTTCACAGGGCGATCAGCGTTTGCATGTAATAGCAGGCTGTGCTGAGGTGTCAGAATATTAAAGGCGCTAATGGCAAAGCTCCCTGTTACACAGGGGGCCACCCGCTGCGCCTACAGCAGGGCTGTGCGGCAGGCCCGTCGCAGATGGCTGGCCACTAAGCTAATGGGGCAGCAGCCAAGGCAGGCAGAGCCACGAGAGGGGAAAGCCAGCCGGGAACAGCTCGGCACCTGCTTCCCCGCACATGGAAATTACAGCAACTCAGGGGAAGGGAAGTGTGTATGCCTGCCTGACAGGATAGGGTGGGTTGGTTCAGTAGACCCAGCATCTTTCAACCCAACTCTGCCTGTCCTCCTGGCTCAACATGAGTGCCTGCTGTGGAGAGGACTTATGTTTCTGTCCTTAGAAACTTGCTTCTTTGAAGTCATCCTTCCACCTGCTCTACCTTCTGGCCAGGAACCCCAGGAGTTGGGTGCTAACTGTACAGCTGGGCTGAGAGGTGCTATGCTATGGAGAAGTAGTACCCAGAGAATTCAGAACTAACATTGGGAAAGAGCTCAGGTGCCATGGTCTTAGAGATAGCTCTTAAAACAGATTTCCTGCCCCACACTGACCAGATTAGGAAGCTTCTGGGCCCTTTCTCCCCATTCCCCAACAGGCTGGCAGGAGAAAGGAAGGGAACATGGAGAGGAAACCTCTTGATGCTCCTGAACTTCTCCTTTGTCCTTGCTGCCTGTCTTTTGCCTGGAATACCATGTCCCCCTATTGTCTATATTCATGCCTTCTGATCGCACTCCCCCCAGGAGTCTTTCCTTGACTCCCACAATACCATACAGGGCTTGGCCTCCCGCATCCTCCTGCTGTGATTGATTGACTCCCCCAGCAAGAATCCTTACAACATAGCTTGTATCACCTTGCCCTGAGCTGGACTCTTGGAAGACCCCTGCTAAGATTTGTATACAGATAGAATCTCTTTAGGAGGACAGCAGGAAAGAAGCAGGAACGGGAGGGTGGGCAGTCACTGGAGGGAAGAGTCTGAGGCATATGGGTAAGCACATATGTAGTTGAGCCACTCCATAGTATGTATTACTGGGGGCGGGAGGCCTCAAAAGTGAGTATCAGGTGATGCGTGTGGGTGCAGGTGCAGGGGGGCAGCAGATAGGAGGGTCCAGGCTACACAGTGACAGGAACACAAGTTGTGTTGCTGTAGGAGCCTCTGTGTAGCTGAGTAGCTGTCAGTGACTGTTAGCTGTGCCTGATAGGTTCACAGGATGACAGAAGTTGTAGGTGGTATTGAGACTGGGCTTGGGCTGCTTCTGTGAGGCTAGTGGGCATGTCCAAAGGTTAAGCTCTAGGGGAGGCATCCCAGCGTTCTCAGCAGGAACAGCAGAAGGAGATCCCAGGCTGAAGGAGAGCAGTTTTAATTAACCGTTTTTAATATCATTTTGGACTTTGGCTGGTATGGGAAGGCCCCGCTGGAAGCAGCATTTGTAAAAATTAAATCCCTCTTATTAGGAGCTTGGCAGACCCATGTGCACATGCCGCCCCCTCCTCCTGGCCCATGCCCCCCTGAGGAAGTGCTGGATGAGGCCATGTTGTGGCAGCAATTGGTTATCATGCCTTATCTGGAAATATGAAACGTGCGGCATGATACCACAGCCCCAGTGGAGATGCCAATTCATCTCACCCTTGCTCTGACAAGCTAGACTGCCCTTCCTGAAAGGCGTCCATCAGGCGGGACCAAGCTGTACCTTCCCTGGTACTTCCCTCCTGCCTGGGGCTCCAGCTTGCCCTGGCCCATCCTGGCTCCCCTGGGCTCTGCTGCCCTCCATTCCCCCTTCACACACCCCAGTCTGTGGAAGATCTTGGGGAGTCATAATTACAATAATAATCTAATCATGGTGACATGTTGGGGCAAGCGTCTAATGTTATCTGAAGTGGTCTTCCCTCTTAGCTGAGATAAGACTCAGGATGACGTGCAGATAACGTTGAGCTGCCCTGTCCCCAAGCCGCAAGCAGAGCAGAGGAGCTGCGGCAGCCTTATGCCCGCCCACCGCTTTAAGCCGGGAAGCGGCAGCACCTGCTAATGCAAGTGTTTAATATTTGATGGGCTGGGATAAAGCAGGATCACCTTCGAATTGAATTGAGTGTCAGCCGAGAATCTATTACTGAAATTCGGGTGTGATTTGACAGCAAAGTAGACGATGTTATTCTTCACTAGTTACTGCAATCTTCTCCCCGACATCACTTAAATATTTTTTTCTTTGCTTGAGTAAACACACATTATCCTTCTTTTTTCCCCCTTCCTTCCCTTTTTTCCTTTTTTGAGGGGAAAAAAACCCATCCAGCTTCCCTTCTCCAGGCTGATGGAGTAGATTGTTATTTCTTTATTTGTCCTATTAAATGGAATTTCTGATCGTTTAATCCGGCCTTTGTAAGTGATTTTAAAGTACTTGAAAGGCAGCCACCCTGCTCTCTGGCCCACTGCTTTCCAGCCTCAGCTGACCGTGCTCAACAGCTCCCCCAGCTGTGCCCCACCCACAGACTGTGTTCCCTATCTGTCCATATCCCCTGGCTGCCTACGTCCTGGCTCTGTCCTGGCCTCTGGGCCAGCATACTCAAAGAGGAGGTAGAGGAGGGTTGTCTGGGAAGTTGAGTCACTGTCCTTCTGTGGTCAAGGAAAATTTTGTCTTTAGAAGGTACTAAGTTTTAAATGTATTGTTTCCTAGTCATCTCATGCCCATGGGCTGGGTTCCTGCAGCTGAAAGGAACTGGCCCTCTGTCTAGCTCCTGTGCCCTAGCACAGACTCTGTCTAACCCTCTTTTCTTGTCTCTGACCCTGTGCTGGATCTTCTCTGTATGGTGAGCTGCTAGTGCCTACCTAAGCACAGTTAGCAGTCCTTTTAGTTCTGTCACTGGACCCACCATCCATTTTCTTGGAATTCACCCAAACTTGTCCCCACTGCCACTGTCCCACATGCTGTCATCTTTCTGCCATTGGGAGAAGGGCAGCTTGGTGTTTAATGACTTCTGAAGTAAAGGGATAGGTAATGTTTAATTTGATACCAGGCCTACTTGCAGAAGCCCAGGACTTTGTTGGCAAGCTAAGCAGTAATTAAATCCTTTCAGCCATGTTGTAGAAGTCTAACCCATGTAAATCACTTTTTGGGGGGCCTCAGTTTCCTCACCTGTGACAAAAGACCAGTCATGCCAGTGAGGGAAGGTGCTGTTTCTACCATGCATATGTTCCCCACAGATGGAATTTGTTGGCGGCCAGGTGGCGGAGGGGGCAGTGGAACACTGGGGGCCTGAGCAGATCGATGCCCCCAGCACTTCCTTCCCCAGCCCCAGGAAAACAATTAAGTACAGATCAATGGGTGGCCGCTTTGAATATGCATAAGTGAATACTTGACCTTCAACAGAGCATCTGCTCCCCCCAACACACACACACACACACACACACACACACACACACACCCTTCACAGCATATCATGTACTTCCTTCACAGCTGCCTGAGTTGACCAGGTGACCTTACCCCCCTCCTTCATTGAACCCACACAGTACTCAGAGCTTTCCACAGCCTTGCCTGCTCGGAGTCAAAAGCAACTTGACCATAGGCATTGATGCTGGTCAGTTCTTCCTTTTTTCCTATCTGTAGAGTAAAATTTGGATATAGGTCCTACCTGAGGCCAGTCTTTGTGAACAGTAATACCAAAGGAGGGAGCCCAGCAAAGATCTGAGAATCTGTGAAAGGGTGCATGGTAAGGGGATGCTCTGATGAGAGGGCTCCTCATAAAGATCTTAGGAAATGGGAGCTCTCTAGAGAGGAACACTGGGGAAAGCACCTAGTAAAGGCTGGCACGTGCTGATGGGGAAAGGCCCAGAAGAAAGAACATTGTGGAGGAGGAAGGGGTTTTCTGGTGGTGAAGAAGCTTTAGTGAAAAGGAATCTCAATAAGGCCACTCTAATGAGGTAGTGTTACTAAACTGAGTCCTTAAAGGTTTGAAGTTGGGGTTGGAGAAGTCTTAGTGAGTGGGGTTGGTTCAAGAGTCAGAGCCTCTGTTAACCTATTCTTGCCTCCTGTCTTCCAGGCTTACAGCTTCGCCATGGGCTGCTGGCCCAAGAATGGACTGCTAGACATGAACAAGGGCCTCAGCTTGCAACACATAGGCCGGCCCCACAGCGGCATCGGTCAGTTCCTTCATAAATCCCTCTACCCACATGCCTCAGTCCCCTGGCACACAGAGGTTTCCACGGCTCATTCAGTACCTCAACCCTATGGAAGGTTTTCACCTTGAGCTGGGGGAGGAGGGTAAGGGAGGGTGGAATGAGGGGATTAGATAATGTAATTGGAAACTTCTCAAAACAATGTTTCAGAGGATTCTGGGATCTGGGGTTTAGGTGAATCACAGGTGGCTTTAGATTCAAATGGAGGTCTTCTGGACCCCCATTGCCTACATCCCTAGTGGGCAGTGTCTTCAGCATACCCACCCCCAGTGGAGCTGGAGGAGGCTGTTTAATATTGTTTCAAGTCTGTGGCCACTAAACTGGACGATCAATGAGAGTTAAGGAGATGAATTATTTAAACTTCACCAGCTTTTAATTAGTCAAGGTCCTTCTGACCGATGGCTTCGTCCACAGGGTATTGACTTCCCCACAGGAGCAGCAGCCTCCACTGAGTGGTGTCTCGGTGGGGAGGGGCCACTTGGGGTAACAGGTGGGGTACATTCTGAGGGGGATTTCTGGTTGGGAGAAACTGGAATAGCTACAAATCCAGGGAGTTGGCAGCTCTGTGAGCTTCTGATATATCAGTAGGAATATGTGTCAGTGTGAGCATCATGTCTGCCTGTGTGTGACACCTTGCCTGTATGTCTCTGTGTGCCTGAGTATAATGTGTTCATCATTGTGCATGTCTGTTAGAAAGGGTGTGTGTACCTAACAACACTATCCATATTTTTCTGAGGGCCTGTGTCTGATTATGGAAGTGACTACCAGCCTGTGGGTGTCTGTCTGTCAAAAGAATGTCTCTTTCCATATGTCTTATTTTTATGTGCATATTCATGCAGATGCTTTCTGGAGCACATTTGACCAGACATAGGCCTTGTTCCAGATGGGAAGAGGTAGGGTATTCCTAGGTGGCACTATGACCTTGTCAAAACCTGATTGCTGTGACACGATATCATTTGATGGGAGCTGAGGAAAGACAGCAGAATGGTGGAGGGTCCCAGCCACCTGCCCTTTTACTCATTCCATACCCATTGACGTGTATTGGGTACTGAGCATGGTGAGGAGAGATTCTATCCTTAGCTTACATCTTGGGAGAAGACAGAGCTGAAATGGGTGCTTGCTGTCCAGGTGCTCAACAGCTATGGTAGAAATACCTAGATTACCCACCCCCAGGTAAAGGTGCTTATCTCAGTTGCCAAAGTAGCTTCTACTTTATCTATATCTCAGTGACTCCTGAGATGCCCTGTATCATCCCTAGGGACAAAGGAAGAAAGAAAATAGTCAGCAGGGGATCTGGGTATAACCTACCATAACTGATATTCCTTCCTGTAGAATTTTTTCCATGCAACCTAGAGAAGACATTATATCCAGCTAGGGTCTAAACACCTGGAAGTTCAGAGAGAGACTTACTAGAGAAAAGAACACGAGTTGGGATCCTTGAAGGATGAAAAACAGTTTGCTAGTCAGAAGAATGAAGAAGTGGTATTTTAGCCACGGAGAATTTGTGTACAGAGTCTGAAAGACCCACGAGCATCCAGCGTATTGAGAGTCCAAGTTTAGATGTCTGCCAGTATTTTCTTAAGACTGGAATAGAAATTTCATGTCGGGGAACAGCTACAAAATAAGCAGAGCCTTGAATGCCTGATTAAAATATAACCCCCACCTCAAGGTTCAGAGGAGATGTAGGTTTGAAAGGCAAAGAATCACATGATCAGAATTCAAATTCTGAATCAGTGAGACAGTTTTTGCTGCACAAAGCTAGTTCTTAGTAGGTACTCAATAAAAGTTTGTAGGTGGATGGATAAAAGCTGGGTGAGGAAAGAATTCAATAGAAGAGTAATTTAAAAAGGGAGGGGCTAAGGAGGTAGGATCTATGAGAAGACGGAGGGGCTGACAGCAGTGGTAAGGCATCCTCCATGGCCTTGAGCTAGGTGTTCTGATTCTGTGTCTGTATAGGATGTATTTATGAGGAAAAACAACTCCCTGCCTACTCTTAATTGTCTCTTTAGGCTCAGTGACTGTTCACCCTGGGTTAGTGCCCCCTGAAATATCCTCTCCTTTAGAGAATAAAGTTTTCCCCTTTGGCCTGCAGGGCAGCCCAAGGCTCTAAGAGACAGTGAAACCAGAAGTACCTATGGCTCTGGGACCTTAGGTGAGGGAAAGTGCTGCCAGCATCTTGGGAGCTGTGAGGGGGTCCAGTGAGCAGCCCATGAAGAGGCCTGTGCAAGGCCCAACACATGGTGGGTGCTCAGGAAGCTCCCTTTCCATAGCCCTGCCAATGCCACAGGCTACCAGGACACTGGCAGTTCTTGGTACTTGGTCTTTACAGTCTGAATGAAGAGGGCTGCCCTGCCAGCTCCTGGCCTAGCTCTGAGGTGTGGGTGAGGGTGCTTAGGAGGGAGGGAGGATGCAGGGCATTAATTGGGTTGGGAGAGGCAGGGAGGGGAGGCGTGGGTTTTGAGCAGTGAGGTTAATGGCCCTCGCGCCAAAGAGACAGCTTTAATGAGCTTCAGCTGGTGGTGCCCCGAGTTACTGTGCGTGCTAAAAGGGTCGCGCTGTAAGAGTTTGATGTGGACTGCTTCCCGGCCCCAGGGTCAGGGGTCAGCTCCTGTCACTGGCCACTCAGGCTGGTCTTCAGTGACATGGTGCTAATTAACTGTGTGAGGAGCTGCCAGGCTGGAATGGGTAGTGGTATGTATATTGTTGGGGGGGCGTGAAGCAGTATTGGGTGATGCTGGACAAGAGTTCTGCAGATCCCACCACCTAGGCATATCCAAGGTCTGATTGATTCTTCCATAATGCCATGGTGAGAAAGCAAGGAGGCAGGCTTGCTGGAGGGTTGGGTGACAGGTGCAGGGTAGGGAGGTAGGGCTGTGGTGGGAGGAAGGCCTACTTGGATAATTGTGTATCTTGAGATGTTTGAGGGGAGCCATTGGGAGTGTTTAGAGCGGGGAGGAACTTGGCCAGAGTTGTACTTTCAAAGTCTGCCAATTTATTTAGGAAGGACTGGCAAAGAGTCTACGGGACAGGACAGGAAAGGCACAGTAAAATAAGCTTGTGTGTTAGGTAATTGAGAGCTAGGGCAGCGATGTGAGACTAGAGGCAAGGAACCAGGTGAAACTTTCTTTCATCCATGAAATGCTTACCTTGCACTTACTGTGTGTCAGGAATTGTGATGGGTCTACAAGTGAATTGCTATAGGTGACACAGTGCCCGATGCACATAGCCTTCAAGCAGAATTTTGAGATTGGCACTGGAGACCAAAGGAAACAACAATTCAGGAATGGCTGAGGAGGGTCCAGAGGTGCTGAAGCACTAGGCAGAAAGGCTTGTGAGCAGGGAAGGGGCACTTCCTGGGGTAGTGAATTTGGTCTTGGGGGCCTGCTGTACAAGGTAGGGCTGGAGCGGGGCTTGCATAAGGAGGAGCTGCTGAAGGTAGACCTGCCAACTCCCAAGGCTATATGGCTCAGTTTGAGCCGGTCTCCATGGCAGGAAAACCTGTGACTGCTGACTGGTCCTCCTTTCTCCCATGTCAGTAGAGGGTCAACAAAGTGTTCACATTGCTTTATGCTAATTAATTTAATTTTCATAGCAATTTTGCATCATTATTCCCTTCTAATAGATGAAGAAATTGAAGCTCAATTGAGTGACTTGCCTAAGTTCACACAGCAAGTTGAATTAAGGAGCCAGGATTAAATATCCAAATATATAGCCCAAGTTCTTATCACTATGCATTAGTGTTGACCTTTGTGATCACTTTGACATTTTTTTTTCTTTTTTTGTTCTTATTTGTTTTGGTTTTTTGAGACAGGGTCTCTCTCCCCATAGCCCCAGCAGGCCTGGAACTCACTATGTAGACCAGGCTGGCCTTGATCTCCCAGAGATCTGCCTGCCTCTGCCTCCCAAGTGTTGGGATTAAAGGTGTGCACCACCATGCCCCGTGTTGACTTTTGAGAATTAAAAAAATTGTATTTATGTGTATGAGTGTCTTGCCTACATGTATGTAAGTGTGCTGTGTGTCGTACAGTGCCTGTGGAGGCCAGAAAAATGTGTTGGATCCCCTACAGCTAGAATTAAGGATGAGTTTTAGCTACCATGTGGATACTGGGAACTGAACCCTGGTCCTCTGCATGAGCAGCCAGTGTTCTTAACCACTGAGCCGTCTCTCCATCCCCTGACTTGTTTTATTAGCCTGGGTTTTGGAGATTGAACCTCATGCTTGAGAGAAAGCACCTCACCCATTGAGCTATCTCCTCAGCCCAGCCTTTGTTCTCACTTGCCCCGTTTCTCTCAGAGTCATGTGAAACACAGGCCTTAACAAAGTTTGGGCAGTAACAGCTGAGGAAGAAAGGGAAGGAGGTACTGTCACCCAGCAGTTCTGTTGCAGCCACTTTGCCCTTAAAGCCAGGGCTCTGCACCTGCTAGCCTCTGGCCTCCTCTGGCCCTGGCAGTTCTCACTCTGCAATTTTCTACCTCTTGGCCCAGGAAATCTCACCCATCTTCCAGAGGATACCCACTCTGGAACCCTTACCGCCCCTCACAGTGTACTGCATAGAAAACATGTTTATCCCAATATCATTTGTTGGAGGCAATACCTGGGCCCTTTGATCTGGGGATATAGCTCAGTAGTAGACCACTTGCCTAGCATGAGCAGGACCTTGGGATCAGTCTCTAGCACAACAACAACAACAACAAAATACTAAACCTGGTTCTTTCATACTTGGGCTGTCTTGGGGCAGAGCCTGGGTTCCTTCCTGTCTGTCTTTTTGGAAATTTACAGAGGAGATATCAGTAAAATCTCACCTGCTATTGTGACAGGACCCCACAGATTGCTGGTTTCAGCTGACTGGAAGAATAACTGGAAAATTCCATGATACCCAGCTGGGTGGTCCTGTCCTTTGAGGTTAGCCCCCTGCATCAAGACTGAAGAGGGTCCTGCTGAGCCTCATGGCACAGGCGGCATG